TCAACTCCATTTTCTCATTGCTCTAGCGAAACTTATATAATGAACTAACTGCTTTAAATTATCATTCTTGTGTCACAATAATGACTTCGGATTTGTAACTGTACAGCCTGATAAAAAAATTAACGAAAACGATCGTCCGATCTAATGAACATTAAAATAACAATTACAAGTATGGAAGAGTAATAAGATGGTATAATGGATGAATATTTATGACAGTAAATATGAAAACTCTAGGTGAAAAATTTTAAACCGTATGGAGGCGCATTTTAAGAGATTGAGAACTGACTTCCGAAAGATATATAAACAGCCATAAAGCTGAAAGGATAAGCAGTGCAAGACTAGATAAAGGTCAATAAACGACGACGGATTGAAAGTAATTTTTAAGTTAGAACATAAATATACTACGTAAATGATTTACGAAGAACAGAAGTTACCGGGATAGTGAGGAATTTATAGCTATATCCATTGGAATAAGTTAGTTCGTTATCAAACTTCTGTTAGCTACAGCCGTGATGAATATTTAGTATTTTGAAGCTTACAGATTTTCAGCTATCAAGCCGGCGACTGACATTTGCAACGTTAAAAGCGAGTTGGTCTTCTGATTCCAGTTTTTGTGGGATCGTATGAATGTGTTATGAATATAAATCTTCCATTTCACTTCGTATATTATTTAGGCTAAACCCGTTCGTGCAACGGCAACGATAAGAAGCTAAACACGTTTTAAGTTGTACGAATTTGTTTTAGCACTTCTTTATCCAGACAGACATTCAAAATGAAAAAGCAAAGGAGCGAAGAACTAGACTGGAGAAAAGTTATGTTAAATTTGAAAGAGCTAAAATAGGCCAAATGGAGTGAAGTGATACATAGACAAGCCCATGTAAAAAAAATCAAGGTTGATGGGCGGATATTGGACACAATCAAAGTGAATCAAGAAAAACTGTTTAACTGACCTGTTTGGAGATTAGAATAATCCATGTGGGCTTAACACAGTACTAGACAAAGCACTGAGAATAACATTTAGACGTACGTTCTCAATGTTTGGCTATCGAGTGATTAAAACATATAGCAGATACACGGAGTTTTGTTCTGCAGGAGAACACTTAAGCATAGTAATATCTACTGAGAACAAAAACAACTTTCTATACGGGTTTCGGAATGGTGATGAATGTAACCGGAAAAGAATGACTCGCTTAACTTCGTGAAACATATGTGTTGATGATGCGACGACTTCCCATTCTTTTTGTACGATGTAAAAATTTTTCGCTCGCCTACATTACTTTGTTTACTTGAACTTTCATTTAATTGATTGTTATTAATTTTCACGTAAAGTGCCCTGACGAGTATAGCGCAAATGCATCACATTTTTCAGATCAACTCCATTTTCTCATTGCTCTAGCGAAACTTATATAATGAACTAACTGCTTTAAATTATCATTCTTGTGTCACAATAATGACTTCGGATTTGTAACTGTACAGCCTGATAAAAAAATTAACGAAAACGATCGTCCGATCTAATGAACATTAAAATAACAATTACAAGTATGGAAGAGTAATAAGATGGTATAATGGATGAATATTTATGACAGTAAATATGAAAACTCTAGGTGAAAAATTTTAAACCGTATGGAGGCGCATTTTAAGAGATTGAGAACTGACTTCCGAAAGATATATAAACAGCCATAAAGCTGAAAGGATAAGCAGTGCAAGACTAGATAAAGGTCAATAAACGACGACGGATTGAAAGTAATTTTTAAGTTAGAACATAAATATACTACGTAAATGATTTACGAAGAACAGAAGTTACCGGGATAGTGAGGAATTTATAGCTATATCCATTGGAATAAGTTAGTTCGTTATCAAACTTCTGTTAGCTACAGCCGTGATGAATATTTAGTATTTTGAAGCTTACAGATTTTCAGCTATCAAGCCGGCGACTGACATTTGCAACGTTAAAAGCGAGTTGGTCTTCTGATTCCAGTTTTTGTGGGATCGTATGAATGTGTTATGAATATAAATCTTCCATTTCACTTCGTATATTATTTCGGCTAAACCCGTTCGTGCAACGGCAACGATAAGAAGCTAAACACGTTTTAAGTTGTACGAATTTGTTTTAGCACTTGTTTATCCAGACAGACATTCAAAATGAAAAAGCAAAGGAGCGAAGAACTAGACTGGAGAAAAGTTATGTTAAATTTGAAAGAGCTAAAATAGGCCAAATGGAGTGAAGTGATACATAGACAAGCCCATGTAAAAAAAATCAAGGTTGATGGGCGGATATTGGACACAATCAAAGTGAATCAAGAAAAACTGTTTAACTGACCTGTTTGGAGATTAGAATAATCCATGTGGGCTTAACACAGTACTAGACAAAGCACTGAGAATAACATTTAGACGTACGTTCTCAATGTTTGGCTATCGAGTGATTGAAACATATAGCAGATACACGGAGTTTTGTTCTGCAGGAGAACACTTAAGCATAGTAATATCTACTGAGAACAAAAACAACTTTCTATACGGGTTTCGGAATGGTGATGAATGTAACCGGAAAAGAATGACTCGCTTAACTTCGTGAAACATATGTGTTGATGATGCGACGACTTCCCATTCTTTTTGTACGATGTAAAAATTTTTCGCTCGCCTACATTACTTTGTTTACTTGAACTTTCATTTAATTGATTGTTATTAATTTTCACGTAAAGTGCCCTGACGAGTATAGCGCAAATGCATCACATTTTTCAGATCAACTCCATTTTCTCATTGCTCTAGCGAAACTTATATAATGAACTAACTGCTTTAAATTATCATTCTTGTGTCACAATAATGACTTCGGATTTGTAACTGTACAGCCTGATAAAAAAATTAACGAAAACGATCGTCCGATCTAATGAACATTAAAATAACAATTACAAGTATGGAAGAGTAATAAGATGGTATAATGGATGAATATTTATGACAGTAAATATGAAAACTCTAGGTGAAAAATTTTAAACCGTATGGAGGCGCATTTTAAGAGATTGAGAACTGACTTCCGAAAGATATATAAACAGCCATAAAGCTGAAAGGATAAGCAGTGCAAGACTAGATAAAGGTCAATAAACGACGACGGATTGAAAGTAATTTTTAAGTTAGAACATAAATATACTACGTAAATGATTTACGAAGAACAGAAGTTACCGGGATAGTGAGGAATTTATAGCTATATCCATTGGAATAAGTTAGTTCGTTATCAAACTTCTGTTAGCTACAGCCGTGATGAATATTTAGTATTTTGAAGCTTACAGATTTTCAGCTATCAAGCCGGCGACTGACATTTGCAACGTTAAAAGCGAGTTGGTCTTCTGATTCCAGTTTTTGTGGGATCGTATGAATGTGTTATGAATATAAATCTTCCATTTCACTTCGTATATTATTTAGGCTAAACCCGTTCGTGCAACGGCAACGATAAGAAGCTAAACACGTTTTAAGTTGTACGAATTTGTTTTAGCACTTCTTTATCCAGACAGACATTCAAAATGAAAAAGCAAAGGAGCGAAGAACTAGACTGGAGAAAAGTTATGTTAAATTTGAAAGAGCTAAAATAGGCCAAATGGAGTGAAGTGATACATAGACAAGCCCATGTAAAAAAAATCAAGGTTGATGGGGCGGATATTGGACACAATCAAAGTGAATCAAGAAAAACTGTTTAACTGACCTGTTTGGAGATTAGAATAATCCATGTGGGCTTAACACAGTACTAGACAAAGCACTGAGAATAACATTTAGACGTACGTTCTCAATGTTTGGCTATCGAGTGATTAAAACATATAGCAGATACACGGAGTTTTGTTCTGCAGGAGAACACTTAAGCATAGTAATATCTACTGAGAACAAAAACAACTTTCTATACGGGTTTCGGAATGGTGATGAATGTAACCGGAAAAGAATGACTCGCTTAACTTCGTGAAACATATGTGTTGATGATGCGACGACTTCCCATTCTTTTTGTACGATGTAAAAATTTTTCGCTCGCCTACATTACTTTGTTTACTTGAACTTTCATTTAATTGATTGTTATTAATTTTCACGTAAAGTGCCCTGACGAGTATAGCGCAAATGCATCACATTTTTCAGATCAACTCCATTTTCTCATTGCTCTAGCGAAACTTATATAATGAACTAACTGCTTTAAATTATCATTCTTGTGTCACAATAATGACTTCGGATTTGTAACTGTACAGCCTGATAAAAAAATTAACGAAAACGATCGTCCGATCTAATGAACATTAAAATAACAATTACAAGTATGGAAGAGTAATAAGATGGTATAATGGATGAATATTTATGACAGTAAATATGAAAACTCTAGGTGAAAAATTTTAAACCGTATGGAGGCGCATTTTAAGAGATTGAGAACTGACTTCCGAAAGATATATAAACAGCCATAAAGCTGAAAGGATAAGCAGTGCAAGACTAGATAAAGGTCAATAAACGACGACGGATTGAAAGTAATTTTTAAGTTAGAACATAAATATACTACGTAAATGATTTACGAAGAACAGAAGTTACCGGGATAGTGAGGAATTTATAGCTATATCCATTGGAATAAGTTAGTTCGTTATCAAACTTCTGTTAGCTACAGCCGTGATGTTTATTTAGTATTTTGAAGTGTTATGACCTTGAGTTGTCTACCCACGTTTTGGTGCCGAGGATACTTGTCTAATCTAGATTTCGACCTTGATGCGATAGGCTGATCGGCTTAACCTTGAGACTAATACGCGTGAGTTCGAGATGGGGTAGAGAGAAGAAAACTATTCTGTCACCTGATTGGTGGGCAAGCACACGAATGAGAGAGAAGACAAGACAACTGGAACACTACTCGATCTATTTCCCTGACCACTTAACTCACTGGATTCACTGAATTCAGATTAGTGTAAAAAGGTACATGAATAAATAAGTGAATAACCCGACCGCAACGTACAATAATTAGGAAAAATACAATTATGTCCAAAGCTGGGAATTACAGTAGAAAATAGGGTGCAAAATAATATGTTTAAATTACAATAGCTTCGGAACAGAAAAAGGTATGGCAGTGAATGATACTTCGAACGAAAGCTTATGTTCTGTAGAATAGATTAGGGACAAAAATAAATTTCAGTGTTTTACAAGCTTTGAATAAAATGAAATAACGTCCCGAAAAATAGCCTTCGTAGTTTGTCAGGGCTTCTTGTTTCCCGGTTCACATCATCTTCCCCCTTGACAAAAAAAGTGTTATAACTGCCATTCAACTGAGTGCATAAGTGAAACCGGTTTACGTTGCGATCCGTGTAAGCGTGACTAATTTGACCAACTGGAATAAATAAAAAAAGAAAATGATTAGCCACTATTTACAAGTAATAGTTAAGATATCATCATTGATATCTCCCCTCAGAAACGTATGCTCTTTTCTTTGGGTCCACTTGTAGAATATCTGGTCTTCTACGTTTTCGTAACGATCTCCTAATAGGATCTTGTTCCGGATGCACAGTTTTGTGAGTCGTTGAACTTTTAATATCGAAACTGTCCAAGAAGATTTGCCACATTGAACTCAGTTTCTTGGTTTTCTGTGCAGTGCCAGAATTTTCCAGTATGTGGTTAACATGACGTGTCCACTTTTGACCTTCAACTTCCACCACATACACTACATTTCCTCGTCTCTTAAGTATGCGTCCACTGGTCCATTGTGGAGGTGAGTATCTGAAATCACGGACGTATACTGTTTGGTTGTTTCGGAAGATTCTATTTTTCGCCCCATGATGGCGATTAAATTGGATTACCATCTTTCGGTTTCTCGTTCCTATGAGATTTCGCTCTGGTTTTATTGCATCGAGAGCAGTTTTAACTTTTCTGCCAAACATAATTTCTGCTGGAGACATTTGATTTAGTGCTGACGGGTTTGGAGTTGTTCTGTAGACAAATAGAAAATCATTAAGAATTTCCTTTATCTTCCCCTCCCCTTTTGCCTTCAGTAGCGCTCTCTTGAAGGTATCCACAAACCTTTCGGCTTGACCATTCGATTGTGGATGATATGGAGGTGAACGAACATGATTGACTCCAAATCTCTTGCAGAAATCTGAGAAGATGGACGAAGTAAACTGAGTGCCGTTATCCGACACAAGGATATTTGGGACTCCAAAACGGGAGAATAACTGCCGTAATTCCATAATAGTGTCTTGCGAAGTGACCTGGTTCATAGGGATAATCTCCGGCCATTTTGAGTAAGCATCGACACAAATGAGGAAATATGTACCCTGAAATGGGCCAGCAAAATTAATTTGTACACACGACCAAGGTTTCTTTGGAGATATCTTCGGCATTTGAAAAGGAACAGAAGACTTTGTTGTGGACATAACACTGGCACAAATTACATGAGGTTCTGAAGTTTTACGCGAGCATACTTTGTCTGAGGTATTTGATTTGGAATCATTGTGAGGACATGTTACATCGGAGGAATTTGATTTAACATCATCAAGAGAACACATTACATTTGAAGCATTTGATTCAGAAAGATTATGAGAACATGTTTCATCAGAAGCATTTAATTCATGAATATAAAGAGAACATGATACATCGGAGGCATTTGATTTAGAAATATCATCAGGAATTTTGATAGACTCAAAGGAAGCATTTTGAGAACATACCTCATTTAATAATTTATTCAAGGTATCAACCTTCTCAATCCAGTCTAATCCTAATAAATCTAAATCGTGCCGATTTGTAAGATGACAGACATCGGTGAACTTATGTCCCATGAATTCAACGTTGCATGTGACTTCTCCTGTCAACTTCACTATATCTCCTGAAGCATTGCGAGCAACATGTTCTGTTGGTCGGATGCGTGGATATCCCAGATTACGCCATGTGTTTTTGGAAATCAGTGTAACATCAGAAGCAGTGTCCAATTGAAGACGTATGGGTTTTTCATTTACTAATAAGTTTACGTACTTCCGCTTACTTTGAAAACCAACTTTGAAGGCTGCGAACGTGCTTTTAATTTGACTCTGTGGTGGTTGCTTCGCATTTCCACTACGACATTTAGACTTACGTTTATTCGATGAGCAATGACCTTCTTTATGACCAATGCGATGACATTTGCGGCATTTGTGATTCTTGAACGGACATAGTTTCGCAAAATGCCATGCTCCGCAGAACCAACATGGTGATGGGGGTTTGACAGAAGGTAGTTGTGTGCTTGTAGTGTTCTGTTTGAACGATGTCGAGGATCTGAGAGCATTAATTGAACCAAAATCGGAAGGTTTAGCCTTCTGCTGCACCATCGCGGTATCATGCTTGAGATTTATCAACCTCTGACACTCGGTTGTGACCATTTGTAGTGTCATATTCGGTTCCTGTTCAATGCGTGCTAACATCCTGGTACGGATATCTGCATCTTCTGCATTCTTTAAACCACATATAAAAATCAAGCATTTGAATTGGTCAGCTGAAATCTCGTTTATTTTGAACAGTTCGCATTCTCGATTTACTTTACCAGCATATGTGAGATAATCATCATCTGGGGATTTCGATATTTGGAAACATCGATAGCGAGTATTAAATAATGAAGATTGTTCGCCGAAAATGTCAGATAAAATTTGGACTGTCTCTTTGAAAGATACATCTCGTGGATTTCGTGGCAGGATGAAATACACATATTTGTTGTATTCACGTGTTCCGAGTCTTCTCAGGAGTAGGCGAACTTTAGCTGCGTCATCAAGATTTGAGCATTCCACACGGAATATGTCTTCGCAACGGTGAAACCAGGAATTGAAAATGATACCACATTCAGGATCATAATGGAATTCACAAATAGAATTCGTGATGCATTCATACTTATCTGATTGATAAGTTGTGGATGAATGTAATGACAGCTTCTGCATCAGTGCATCTAAAAGCTTCATTTGATTTGCATCATTTTGCGCTTGCTGAATTTGTAGAATAGTTTTAAGGTCGTCCAAGGATACAGACATTTTGTTCTGGATCAATCAATATAGAAAAAATATCTCCGTCGCCACTTTGTTATGACCTTGATTTGTCTACCCACTTTTTGGTGCCGAGGATACTTGTCTAATCTAGATTTCGACCTTGATGCGATAGGCTGATCGGCTTAACCTTGAGACTAGTACGCGTGAGTTCGAGATGGGGTAGAGAGAAGAAAACTATTCTGTCACCTGATTGGTGGGCAAGCACACGAATGAGAGAAGACAAGACAACTGGAACACTACTCGATCTATTTCCCTGACCACTGAACTCACTGGATTCACTGAATTCAGATTAGTGTAAAAAGGTACATGAATAAATAAGTGAATAACCCGACCGCAACGTACAATAATTAGGAAAAATACAATTATGTCCAAAGCTGGGAATTAGAGTAGAAAATAGGGTGCAAAATAATATGTTTAAATTACAATAGCTTCGGAACAGAAAAAGGTATGGCAGTGAATGATACATCGAACGAAAGCTTATGTTCTGTAGAATAGATTAGGGACAAAAATAAATGTCAGTGTTTTACAAGCTTTGAATAAAATGAAATAACGTCCCGAAAAATAGCCTTCGTAGTTTGTCAGGGCTTCTTGTTTCCCGGTTCACATCATCTTCCCCCTTGACAAAAAAATGTTGTAACTGCCATTCAACTGAGTGCATAAGTGAAACCGGTTTACGTTGCGATCCGTGTAAGCGTGACTAATTTGACCAACTGGAATATATAAAAAAAGAAAATGATTAGTCACTATTTACAAGTAATAGTTAAGATATCATCATTGATATCTCCCCTCAGAAACGTATACTCTTTTCTTTGGGTCCACTTGTAGAATATCTGGTCTTCTACGTTTTCGTAACGATCTCCTAATAGGATCTTGTTCCGGTTGCACAGTTTTGTGAGTCGTTGAACTTTTAATATCGAAACTGTCCAAGAAGATTTGCCACATTGAACTCAGTTTCTCGGTTTTCTGTGCAGTACCAGAATTTTCCAGTATGTGGTTAACATGACGTGTCCACTTTTGACCTTCAACTTCCACCACATACATTACATTTCCCCGTCTCTTAAGTATGCGTCCACTGGTCCATTGTGGAGGTGAGTATCTGAAATCACGGACGTATACTGTTTGGTTGTTTCGGAAGATTCTATTTTTCGCCCCATGATGGCGATTAAATTGGATTTCCATCTTTCGGTTTCTCGTTCCTATGAGATTTCGCTCTGGTTTTATTGCATCGAGAGCAGTTTTAACTTTTCTGCCAAACATAATTTCTGCTGGAGACATTTGATTTGGTGCTGACGGGTTTGGAGTTGTTCTGTAGACAAATAGAAAATCATTAAGAATTTCCTTTATCTTCCCCTCCCCTTTTGCCTTCAGTAGCGCTCTCTTGAAGGTATCCACAAACCTTTCGGCTTGACCATTCGATTGTGGATGATATGGAGGTGAACGAACATGATTGACTCCAAATCTCTTGCAGAAATCTGAGAAGATGGACGAAGTAAACTGAGTGCCGTTATCCGACACAAGGATATTTGGGACTCCAAAACGGGAGAATAACTGCCGTAATTCCATAATAGTGTCTTGCGAAGTGACCTGGTTCATAGGGATAATCTCCGGCCATTTTGAGTAAGCATCGACACAAATGAGGAAATATGTACCCTGAAATGGGCCAGCAAAATTAATTTGTACACACGACCAAGGTTTCTTTGGAGATATCTTCGGCATTTGAAAAGGAACAGAAGACTTTGGTGTGGACATAACATTGGCACAAATTACGTGAGGTTCTGAAGTTTTACGCGAGCATACTTTGTCTGAGGTATTTGATTTGGAATCATTGTGAGGACATGTTACATCGGAGGAATTTGATTTAACATCATCAAGAGAACACATTACATTGAAGCATTTGATTCAGAAAGATTATGAGAACATGTTTCATCAGAAGCATTTAATTCATGAATATAAAGAGAACATGATACATCGGAGGCATTTGATTTAGAAATATCATCAGGAATTTTGATAGACTCAAAGGAAGCATTTTGAGAACATACCTCATTTAATAATTTATTCAAGGTATCAACCTTCTCAATCCAGTCTAATCCTAATAAATCTAAATCGTGCCGATTTGTAAGATAACAGACATCGGTGAACTTATGTCCCATGAATTTAACGTTGCATGTGACTTCTCCTGTCAACTTCACTATATCTCCTGAAGCATTGCGAGCAACATGTTCTGTTGGTCGGATGCGTGGATATCCCAGATTACGCCATGTGTTTTTGGAAATCAGTGTAACATCAGAAGCAGTGTCCAATTGAAGACGTATGGGTTTTTCATTTACTAATAAGTTTACGTACTTCCGCTTACTTTGAAAACCAACTTTGAAGGCTGCGAACGTGCTTTTAATTTGACTCTGTGGTGGTTGCTTCGCATTTCCACTACGACATTTAGACTTACGTTTATTCGATGAGCAATGACCTTCTTTATGACCAATGCGATGACATTTGCGGCATTTGTGATTCTTGAACGGACATAGTTTCGCAAAATGCCATGCTCCGCAGAACCAACATGGTGATGGGGGTTTGACAGAAGGTAGTTGTGTGGTTGTAGTGTTCTGTTTGGACAATTTCGAGGATCTGAGAGCATTAATTGAACCAAAATCGGAAGGTTTAGCCTTCTGTTGCACCATCGCGGTATCATGCTTGAGATTTATCAACCTCTGACACTCGGTTGTGACCATTTGTAGTGTCATATTCGGTTCCTGTTCAATGCGTGCTAACATCCTGGTACGGACATCTGCATCTTCTGCATTCTTTAAACCACATATAAAAATCAAGCATTTGAATTGGTCAGCTGAAATCTCGTTTATTTTGAACAGTTCGCATTCTCGATTTACTTTACCAGCATATGTGAGATAATCATCATCTGGGGATTTCGATATTTGGAAACATCGATAGCGAGTATTAAATAATGAAGATTGTTCGCCGAAAATGTCAGATAAAATTTGGACTGTCTCTTTGAAAGATACATCTCGTGGATTTCGTGGCAGGATGAAATTCACATATTTGTTGTATTCACGTGTTCCGAGTCTTCTCAGGAGTAGGCGAACTTTAGCTGCGTCATCAAGATTTGAGCATTCCACACGGAATATGTCTTCGCAACGATGAAACCAGGAATTGAAAATGATACCAGATTCAGGATCATAATGGAATTCACAAATAGAATTTGTGATGCATTCATACTTATCTGATTGATAAGTTGTGGATGAATGTAATGACAGCTTCTGCATCAGTGCATCTAAAAGCTTCATTTGATTTGCATCATTTTGCGCTTGCTGAATTTGTAGAATAGTTTTAAGGTCGTCCAAGGATACAGACATTTTGTTCTGGATCAATCAATATAAAAAAAAATCTCCGTCGCCACTTTGTTATGACCTTGATTTGTCTACCCACTTTTTGGTGCCGAGGATACTTGTCTAATCTAGATTTCGACCTTGATGCGATAGGCTGATCAGCTTAACCTTGAGACTAGTACGCGTGAGTTCGAGATGGGGTAGAGAGAAGAAAACTATTCTGTCACCTGATTGGTGGGCAAGCACACGAATGAGAGAAGACAAGACAACTGGAACACTACTCGATCTATTTCCCTGACCACTGAACTCACTGGATTTACTGAATTCAGATTAGTGTAAAAAGGTACATGAATAAATAAGTGAATAACCCGACCGCAACGTACAATAATTAGGAAAAATACAATTATGTCCAAAGCTGGGAATTAGAGTAGAAAATAGTGTGCAAAATAATATGTTTAAATTACAATAGCTTCGGAACAGAAAAAGGTATGGCAGTGAATGATACATCGAACGAAAGCTTATGTTCTGTAGAATAGATTAGGGACAAAAATAAATGTCAATGTTTTACAAGCTTTGAATAAAATGAATTAACGTCCCGAAAAAATAGCCTTCGTAGTTTGTCAGGGCTTCTTGTTTCCCGGTTCACATCATCTTCCCCCTTGACAAAAAAATTGTTATAACTGCCATTCAACTGAGTGCATAAGTGAAACCGGTTTACGTTGCGATCCGTGTAAGCGTGACTAATTTGACCAACTGGAATAAATAAAAAAAAGAAAATGATTAGTCACTATTTACAAGTAATAGTTAAGATATCATCATTGATATCTCCCCTCAGAAACGTATGCTCTTTTCTTTGGGTCCACTTGTAGAACATCTGGTCTTCTGCGTTTTCGTAACGATCTCCTAATAGGATCTTGTTCCGGATGCACAGTTTTGTGAGTCGTTGAACTTTTAATATCGAAACTGTCCAAGAAGATTTGCCACATTGAACTCAGTTTCTCGGTTTTCTGTGCAGTACCAGAATTTTCCAGTATGTGGTTAACATGACGTGTCCACTTTTGACCTTCAACTTCCACCACATACACTACATTTCCTCGTCTCTTAAGTATGCGTCCACTGGTCTATTGTGGAGGTGAGTATCTGAAATCACGGACGTATACTGTTTGGTTGTTTTGGAAGATTCTATTTTTCGCCCCATGATGGCGATTAAATTGGATTACCATCTTTCGGTTTCTCGTTCCTATGAGATTTCGCTCTGGTTTTATTGCATCGAGAGCAGTTTTAACTTTTCTGCCAAACATAATTTCTGCTGGAGACATTTGATTTGGTGCTGACGGGTTTGGAGTTGTTCTGTAGACAAATAGAAAATCATTAAGAATTTCCTTTATCTTCCCCTCCCCTTTTGCCTTCAGTAGCGCTCTCTTGAAGGTATCCACAAACCTTTCGGCTTGACCATTCGATTGTGGATGATATGGAGGTGAACGAACATGATTGACTCCAAATCTCTTGCAGAAATCTGAGAAGATGGACGAAGTAAACTGAGTGCCGTTATCCGACACAAGGATATTTGGGACTCCAAAACGGGAGAATAACTGCCGTAATTCCATAATAGTGTCTTGCGAAGTGACCTGGTTCATAGGGATAATCTCCGGCCATTTTGAATAAGCATCGACACAAATGAGGAAATATGTACCCTGAAATGGGCCAGCAAAATTAATTTGTACACACGACCAAGGTTTCTTTGGAGATATCTTCGGCATTTGAAAAGGAACAGAAGACTTTGGTGTGGACATAACATTGGCACAAATTACGTGAGGTTCTGAAGTTTTACGCGAGCATACTTTGTCTGAGGCATTTGATTGGGAATCATTGTGAGGACATGTTTCATCGGAGGAATTCGATTTAACATCATCATGAGAACACATTACATTGGAAGCATTTGATTCAGAAAGATTATGAGAACATGTTTCATCAGAAGCATTTGATTCATGAATATAAAGAGAACGTGATACATCGGAGGCATTGGATTTAGAAATATCATCAGGAATTTTGATAGACTCAAAGGAAGCATTTTGAGAACATGCCTCATTTAATAATTTATTCAAGGTATCAACCTTCTCAATCCAGTCTAATCCTAATAAATCTAAATCGTGCCGATTTGTAAGATAACAGACATCGGTGAACTTATGTCCCATGAATTCAACGTTGCATGTGATTTCTCCTGTCAACTTCACTATATCTCCTGAAGTATTGCGAGCAACATGTTCTGTTGGTCGGATGCGTGGACATCCTAGCTTACGCCATGTGCTTTTGGAAATCAGTGTAACATCGGAAGCCGTGTCCAATCGAAGACGTATGGGTTTTCCATTTACTAATAAGTTTACGTGCTTCCGCTTACTTTGAAAATTAACTTTGAAGGCTGCGAACGTGCTTTTAATTTGACTCTGTGGCGGTTGTTTCGCATTTCCACTACGGCATTTAGACTTCCGTTTATTCGATGAGCAATGACCTTCTTTATGACCAATGCGATGACATTTGCGGCATTTGTGATTCTTGAACGGACATTGTTTCCCAAAATGCCATGCTCCGCAGAACCAACATGGTGATGGAGGTTTGACAAAAGGTGGTTGTGTGGTTGTAGTGTTCTGTTTGGACGATTTCGAGGATCTGAGAGCATTAATTGTACCAAAGTCGGAAGGTTTAGCCTTCTGTTGCACCATCGCGGTATCATGCTTGAGATTTATCAACCTCTGACACTCGGTTGTGACCATTTGTAGTGTCATATTCGGTTCCTGTTCAATGCGTGCTAACATCCTGGTACGGATATCTGCATCTTCTGCATTCTTTAAACCACATATAAGAATCAAGCATTTGAATTGGTCAGCTGTAATCTCGTTTATTTTGAACAGTTCGCATTCTCGATTTACTTTCCCAGCATATGTGAGATAATCATCATCTGGGGATTTCGATATTTGGAAACATCGATAGCGAGTATTAAATAATGAAGATTGTTCGCCGAAAATGTTAGATAACATTTGAACTGTCTCTTTGAAAGATACATCTCGTGGATTTCGTGGCAGGATGAAATTCACATATTTGTTGTATTCACGTGTTCCGAGTCTTCTCAGGAGTAGGCGAACTTCAGCTGCAACACCAAGATTTGAGCATTCCACACGGAATATGTCTTCACAACGGTGAAATCAGGAATTGAAAATGATACTAGATTCAGGATCATAATGGAATTCACAAATAGAATTTGTGATGCATTCATACTTATCTGATTGATAAGTTGTGGATGAATGTAATGAGAGCTTCTGCATCAGTGCATCTAAAAGCTTCATTTGATTTGCATCATTTTGCGCTTGCTGAATTTGTAGAAGTTTTAAGGTCGTCCAAGGATACAGACATTTTGTTCTGGATCAATCATTATAGAATAAAATCCCCGTCGCCACTTTGTTATGACGTTGATTTGTCTACCCACTTTTTGGTGCCGAGGATACTTGTCTAATCTAGATTTCGACCTTGATGCGATAGGCTGATCGGCTTAACCTTGAGACTAGTACGCGTGAGTTCTAGATGGGGTAGAGAGAAGAAAACTATTCTGTCACCTGATTGATGGGCAAGCACACGAATGAGAGAAGACAAGACAACTGGAACACTACTCGATCTATTTCCCTGACCACTGAACTCACTGGATTCACTGAATTCAGATTAGTGTAAAAAGGTACATGAATAAATAAGTGAATAACCCGACCGCAACGTACAATAATTAGGAAAAATACAATTATGTCCAAAGCTGGGAATTAGAGTAGAAAATAGGGTGCAAAATAATATGTTTAAATTACAATAGCTTCGGAACAGAAAAAGGTATGGCAGTGAAT